TATTATGATTATATGTTGTAATGATTCCACAAATCTCATGAGTTCTCAACTGTCGATTAAATATAATTCTCAACTCAACATTGCATATCCTGCGATGTAACTATTGCGGACACACACATTGCGATATTGATGCTGCAAAGATATGTTGTGCAGCCCTACTCTGAAGAATGTGGGAAAGCAGCAGCCTTTGGAATCTATAACAAGAACAAAATACACTATTGAAGTCAATGGCTGCTGGAAGTCAATGACTTTAGCTGTTTTTTCATTCATTCATGAATTCATTTTCCTTCGGCTTAGTCCCTTATTCATCAGGGATCACCATAGTGAAATGACTCTAAATTTAGTCTATTTATTTATTGACATTTGACAAACTTACATTTAAAACATCGAAACATTTTTGAATCAATGCAAGAAATGAGAAATTTATGTATCAACTATGAAACAATACACTTTCATTTTTCAGATTTATTGTCCTTATAATTGACTCTAAATGGGATAGAAATGTGATATTTTTTATAGAATTGTATATAATAATGTGGTAGAGACAACAGATAGATTTAAAAAAAAGTATGCATCAGATATAAAAATAACTGCATGTAAATGGAATAAACTGTGATTTGTTAAAAATAAATGCCAGAAATTAATGCCTGCTATATTTGAGGACTACATATTACAAGTATACACCACTACCTCTATGCCAGAGATGCCCAAAGTAGGGCCCGTAGGCCAAAGTTAGCCCATTGTAACCTTGCATTTGGCCCACCATCCCATCTGAGAGGAAAGTGAAAACGATGGAGACGGCTGGGGCAAATTTCTTTAAAAGAGATCATCATTTCTAATTTGACGTTACATTTTTTTGTTTGTTTGCTTTATTGCTGAGCTACAAAAGAAAAAAAGAAAAGAAAAAAAGCAAACTGAAATGAAATGTTTTAATTAAATGTCACTTAAATGTAATTCATTCTGATTTCTAAAAATATAAATACTGTCACTTGTGTGAGAGTGTAATTTAAACTAGTGTAATTTTGTTATAAAATAAATTGTTTTGTTTTTACTGTAATAAATTCATTATAAAATTTAAAAACAATACTGCATTAGTTAATATAAAGCAATGTTTTCTAGTCATTTTTTAATTTATATTATTAAATAAATTAGGAAATCACCCATGGCACCCATGTTTTTACCTTTGACCCACTAGCCTCAATCAAGTTTGGTTTTTGGCCCTTTATAAGAAAAAGTTTGGGCACCCCTGATCCATGGAGTTCTGCTCCAACCCTAATTAAACACACGTGATCCAGCTAATCAAGGTTAAAACCTTGTTCACTAGACACTTCCAAGCTGGTGTCAGTTGGAGCTATACTGTGGGAAGCTGTGGCAGGCCTCCAGGAACTGAGTTTGAGACTGTCATGTATTATGAATGGCTCTATTATGTATTACTGTGTGACTTCATCAGCAATTGTATTCAGTAAAGGTATTAAACCTTGTGACTACACCTATGTGATTCACCGACAGTACAAAACAAACAAAGACATAACACTGATAAAAACTGACCAGAAAAACAGCAAAAACTTTATGATGTACAGTGTACTCATATTAAGCATGAAAAACACGTCTTCAGGTGTCCCGGAATTTCAAAAGTAATCTAGTGGGATTTTGGATCATGGATTGGATCAAGTCTTGGAAATGGGTTTTTCAAAAGTGACAGAGAGATATTGAATAACGATCAGACCATGTGATCCAATCTTACAGTTGATTCAGATCAGTCCTGCCTTTTGGGTCATGCAAATCTTTGAGCTCAGATTGGGATCTATTTGATCCAAAAAAACAGGATTATCCTGATCCCATCAGAAGGGTGAAATCAGTTGTGACTTTTTTAACCAAATAAAATATTTTAAATTTTTATTTTTTGGGTGAATGATCACAAATTAATGGTTACTAATGATATATATATATATATATATATATATCACCAATTAATGGTTACTAATGATATATATATCAGGACAATTCTGTTTTTTTGCATCAAATAGATCCCAATCTGAGCTCAAAGATTTGTATGACCCAAAAGGCAGAACTGATATAAATCAACTGTAAGATTGGATCACATGGTCTGATCGTTTTTCAATATCTCTCTGTATATATTTATATTCTTTCATATTTGAAGCCTATATGAAGCATGTCACATACTGTATAATGAGATCTGGTAAACAACAACTACAACAACAAAACAATATCAAAGCAGTATTGTATCAGAACAAACTAAAAATGTCAAAGAGTTTCTCAGTAGTAGAAGTTGTTATAGTTGGGAAAACTTAATGCTCGAATAATTAATAATAACTAAATTGTTTTTTTTACAATCCTATTTGCTCAAATATTAAACGAAAAACTCCACATTAGTGTTATAAAGACTTTAGAAAAAGAAAAAAAATTGTGCGAGAAGGCAGCTAGAGGAGAGAATATTATCAAATTTACTGTCCTGCCCCCCATATACACTACATTAGAAACGCCTCGCACAAGCAGTAAGAAGTTGTTTTTAATTTGAAGCAAAGATGATATAATACATTCATAAATGCATTTTAATGTTCATATGTTTTGTTTTTATTAAATCTAAAAATTCTAAACTTCAAAAGATTTAAGATTCTGATGACCATTAAATGTCATAACAGGTTTGTGAAAAAGGTCCATTACCATTCAAAACAAACAATGGCTGTTTGTGGCCACTGGTATCTTGCCTACCTGTTGTTTGTTGCTAAGCCAGTAGGCTACACTGTTGGTTAATCCTGGGCCCAGTTTGAAAAAAAATAAAAATAATTTGAATTAAACTGGACCAGATTTGGAAATCACATGTTATGCTATCCAGGATTAACTGATCTATTATAGGAACATTGAGTTGGATCCCTGTGATCCAAATACTAAATTTCATGATTATCAAATCATGTTTACCAGAACCTTAAATGCAACCAACAGTGTAGTACTGGCTTAGCAAAGAACAACAGGTAGGCAAAATACCAGCGGCCAGAAACAGCCATTGCTTGTTTTAATAGTAATAACCAGAAATATGGCAATCAACAAACATTTTACATTTTTTAGTTTGTTCTAATTCAGTACTTACTTCTTCCCATCAAAGTACTACTAGAACTACTAGAACTAGAACTTCTGGAGGAGGTGACAGAGGGGACTGCATTATTCCTCTCAAAAAAAGTAAATTCAGTCAATCTGTATTTTCAGAGAGAGCTGCTAGGGAATGGAACTCCATCCCACCAATAATTAGAAGATCATGCACTTTTCGTTCTTTTCAGTCTCATGTTAAAAATTGGTTATTGACAAATCAGCATTGTCAGCATTAATACTGTATTCTTGACACATTTGTACTGTTGTCTTTTGCTTTTTGTCCTCTGCTGCCATCAGTCTGTTCTTTTTTTTCTTCTTCTTTTCTTTTCTTTACTTTTTTAACTGTATTTTTTATATAAAAGTGCTTTTAATGTTTAATGTTGTGCTTCTATTTTAGCTGTGACTTTTTTAACATTCTGTAAGGGGTCTATGGATAAAAAATAGCCATTCTTGGCTAATTCTGGCACATTTTACAGTAATGTTTATTAATGTGCATTGACCCTGTAAACAAATAAACTAAACTTAACTAAAAATCAAAGTTGATATTTAGCCGCAACAATCTTGGTGTTTCATAAAATAAATTTTTTTTACGAGGTGGGTCGTCAGCCCAACGCTCAACCCCCAACCTGGAGGACGAGGATATACACACATGCCCTACTGACAATTTAGTTTACCCAATTCAACAATAGGCATGGGACGATAACCGTTTTCAAGGTATACAGCGGTTTGAAAAAGTATTCTAATGCAATACTGATATATATATATTTTCAGGATCATATTATAAGTAACCATTAAGTTTGTGATCATTCACTTAAAAAATACAACTTTTTTATTTTGTTTGGTTCAAAAAATCACAACTGAATCCACCTTTCTGGTGGGACCACGATAATCCAGTTTTTTTTTTTTTATTAATTTATTTTTTTTATCAAATAGACACCAATCTGTTCTCAAAGTTTTGAATAACCCAAAGGGCAGGACTGATCTGAATCAAATGTAAGATTGGATTACATGGTCTGATCTTAATTCAATATCTCTCTTTCTAAGATTTGATCCAGTGATCCAAAATCCCACTGGATTACTTCTGAACAACTGGGCCCTGGATAGCAAAACATAGGATTTCCAAATCTAGACCAATTTAATCCAGATTATTTATTTATTTATTTATTTATTTATTTATTTATTTATTTATTTATTTATTTATTTATTTATTTATTTATTTATTTATTTTAAAAACTGGGCCCTGGAGACGCTAGACGGCAGCAAAGCACTGCTAAACAAACAAAGACTAATCACTCACGCACTTGCTGATAACCTTATCGAAAGAACATATTTACAGATGCAAGTCAATATATATTATATATTATTTTGTTTACCGATGTTTGTCTTCTGTCTGACAACACATCCAGACTATTGTTCAGCCAGATTAGTCTGAAACTATTCTATGTGGTTATAATATTGTTTCAATCTCTAATCTTTTCATTAACATATAAAACACAGCCCAGCTAAGCAAATAAAGTTAATTAAAAGTTTAAACCCAACTTTTAGGTAGGTTCATATTCAACAAATTGGGTTGAATTAACTCTCTTTGTTGTAAATTGATAATTATTCATCAAGGTTACAAATACAATTTGTTCTGTTTTACTCTTAAATTAAAGATTTTAGATGGCAAGAGAAGGGTGTCTCATATTACAGTCATTATGTACAGACTAGAAGTGTCCTGCTTAAAAACAATAGTAAAATAAACAGTATTCAGGTGTATGTGGGTGTGGCTGAGGGCGGAGGAGACACCTGTTGTTTTACAGATGGAGGGTCCTGTTTGTTGTCAAAAACATCGACTGGAGAACTTTCTTGGACGTTTCTTGAACGTTTGTGTTGCTGGACTTGGCTGTGGAAACGGCAGGATCGTGAAACACACTCATACAGACAACAAACACACCGCTGATCGCCAGGAGAGCTGCTGCTGTTACCCCGTGTAAGCGGATGTGTTTTTTTATCTTCTCATTTCGCGAGTTGAGTGGCGATTTTTTAAGTACAGTTTTGTATTACTTGACAATTTATGTGTGAAAAAAATAAGCCGACGGTTTGAGGTTGTCGGGTCGCCAATTAGGCTACTCGTGGGAATGGTAATTTAATAGGAAATGGCGCCTTATTTATTTATTGACAATTGTACTTAAGGTTTTTTTTTGTTGTTGTTGTTGAAGGAAATCTGCTTTAAAAAATATCCTAACATCACAAAAAAGGTAGTTCTTGTTAGTCTGTTTGATGAGGCTCATATAGCCAATTGTAAATTTGATCTCACCCTTTGTAATTTGGAAATATAATAGGCTAACACTCGTTCAAGCTATTCACTAAATTGTATGGCTTCCAGCTATTTTATTAGAACAACAAACAACTCTTTACACTGATTGATAGCGTACTGTGAATTGTGTTATAATTCGTGTTTAGGAGCATTATTTCATCCAAAGATGAAAATGTTTACTATTTACTCACAAGTGGTTTCAAACATTGAGTGAGAGTTTATGTCTTCTGTAATCACTAAAGAAGATATTCTGAGGAAAACTGAACGCATGCAATTATATGAAAAACAAATACAACTTTCAACATTGAGGAAGGAAACAATCAAGGAACAAGGTTTAGAACAGGTAAAGGGCGAGTAAATGATGACAGCTTTCATTTTTGGGTGAATCTTTTTAAGTTTCACGTTTAAAATCATTGAGGTAAAGCTGGTTTTATATTCGCCCATTCTTTCATTGACAACTTCTGACACTATCCCTGCATTGTTTACCATGGTATTTTGAATAATCTGTCTGAAATCACATGTAAATATGGCTGAAAACAACATTACCACTATTTGTGGTAATGAACAATGTTGACGTTTAATAGTTATTGGCATTTAGATTTAGCTTGCTTTGCTGAAAATATTGTTATTAAAGATAAAGTCTAAATGTGTGAATGTAAAACCAACTTTACCTTATTTTTCATTGTTAGCACTTAAAAAAGTCTAAAATTCACTCTATTGCATCTTGGTTGCTTTTAAACCAGTTTTGAACAGGTCTTAATTTTTATTTTAATGTAACACTACCTCTAAAGTTTATTCGCATTGTATCACACCACTGTTTGTGTCTTGTTTTGATTCTGTGAGAGCAACATACAGATCTTGCACAGTAAAAATGCTGGGTTCCACACAATCTATTTGTGTTGGGACAACATGAATAAATCAAGCCTGTTGCCAGGGGGGGTTTGGGTGGTTCGAAAGACCCACCCCTCAGTGACAAGGGTCCAGAATTCATCCCATACATGAGCTCATTTGTTTGACTGCTACACCATCATAAATTGTGAAAATAGTCCATTAAAAAAAGCTTGGAAGACCAATCCAAATTCTTTGTTGACCATCACATTGATGTGACTTCAGCTAATCAGTTTTGGCCAATGCAAACTTTTATTTTTCATAAGTCCAACATCCAGCTGTGCAAGGAAACATACAATCCTATGTAAGGGAAGTCGTCTTTCGCTACTGTATTGCTTTTACATAGAGAAAACATTTTACAAGCAACTTTTATTCTAAATCTTGGACCTTATTCTTCAAAACTGGTTGATTAAAATTATGTGAAGCACCAAAACTGGCTCCTATTAAAATACATTTGTATAGTAATTTGGCTATTATCCAAATAGCGAAAATCTGACTGAGGAAAGTTGAATGTGCTAGCCAGTTTGTTATTTGTCTGATAAATGAAAATATGACTCCGTTTTTAATTTAAAACTTTAACAGATTCCTATTTCTTCTAATGAAATATGGTGTAATACATTTGTATTTGAAAAAAAACAAATATATTTTTCATATTTCTTTTATTTTAAACCTTTAGACTAAAGTATTTTGTGATTCTAAATCTTTAGAAATATGTTGGTACATTAAAAAGTGTGGTTACATCGGTGCATTAGCCTAGTGGTTAGTGTGCTGACAAATGGTGTAGTAGCACTTCAGAGCATCCCAGCTCGAGGGCATTTCCCGTCCATACCCTTTCTCTCTCTCTCCCTCTTCGCTTCCTGTTTCATTACTGTCCTATTCACTTTAGCAAAAAGGCCAAAAATAAATAAAAAAAAAGGGTGGTTATGATGACCATCCAACAAGCTAATTCAGCTAAAAATAGTGTTTAAATGCAGTATTTAAATATCATAATTAAACAGAAATTGAGGCGAATAACTGCTGTTAATTTATTAGTTTTTACAAATTTAAGTATGTTGAACATAAAACAATTAAACTGTCCACCAAAAAACTCAAGATGTGTGGTTTCAGCTTGTTTTAAATAAGTAGTTTGAACAAACAGCATGCATAATTTTTAAGTGTAATTTAATTTGTAATGGTTTAAAAAAAGTAATATTTGACTGTGAAATCAGCAGAAACACTTCTATTATCATACAAGTAAATGCACAAGCTGTTTTACAAATTGCCATAATTAATTATTCATTTAGCTGGTTACCTGTAGCTCATGTGCATATTTTCGTAATTCAAAATAAAGCAGATGCTACCGCTAACATGGATGTTACTCATAACAATACATAATCAGGCCCATAACCAGCCTGGTGTAAGGAGTGGTTCTTTTTTCTCAAGTAGTTGACCTTTTAAAGCTCTTCATTTAATTTAATTAAAAAATACTGCATTTAGTGACATTTTAAACACTGTTTTCAGCTGGATTAGCTTGTCACATGGTCATCATAACCACACTTTTTGATGTATTAAAAATATTTCCTAAAGATATGATGATTAACTGCAATATGATAAGAATTAAGAAGTCCACTTTCATACAAGGTTGTTTTCCATGCAGAAATTGTGCCACATGTCAGAATTTGGTAAAGTGTAAAGATGTTTTGAATCCAGCAATAGGTAAAAATAAAAACCTCTATTACCTGCTCTACTCCAAATATGGTCTACATGTTTAAATGTCCGTGCCAAAAGATAAACATAGGGAAGTCATCATGTCAGGTAAAGTTGCGAATTAGTGAACATAAATCAAGTATACGATGACAAGATATAACTTCGGCAGTAGCAAGAAATTTTATAGATTTTGGACATGATGTTAAACAACTATGCATAGGAATTAAGGAGGTATTTGTCACATAGAGAAGGGAATTCTGAGTAAAAGATTATTATAAAGAGAAGTGATTTGTATTCATAAATAAAAATTAATTACACCAAGAGGAATGAATGAGGTGTTGGACTTTTCTGTGTTTCTTTATCTGTTTGTTGTTTTGAATTAAACTATAACCCATTGTGTCATTTATGAGCTGCACATTGAACTTTCATTCAGTTTGGTCATTTGGAAATTGAACAATTAAAACGTACAACTGCTAATACTACTACTACTACTAATAATAATAATAATGTAGAGCTTAAGGATTTTCATAGCTTGTCTTGTAAAATGTACATTTGAAAATTCATGAATGGCAACAATATTACTATTCAAATTTGGTCATTTTCTTTCAAGAATATGGTCCAAGATTTATAATAAAAGTTGCTTGTAAAAAGTTTTCTCTATTTAGCAACAATATAGTAGGTCAGTAGGGAAAGATGACTTAACTATTGTCAGATTCTGCTTGGTCTTAAAGCATTTAATGGGTTATTTTCACTATTTATAATGGCTAAGCAGTCAAAAAAGGACAAATCATCTCATGTATGAGACACATTCTGGTCTTTTGAACCACTCAAACTCCCTCTGGTTACGTACGGACATGATCATGTCAAAACCCAGAAAATAGGTCAGGACCAGGAAATAGGCAAGACTGTAAATCAGTGAAATAACACTGTATATTAAGATCTGCATTAAAATTAAAATCAGTAATCCCTCTAGTTGTGATCACATTTTATTATAATCAATCATTTGTTTTCTTAGAGTCATTCACTTTCAGCCATTATCTCAATACAGTAGTAAATTTGCTGGTTGACACCAGGCAGGTGTCAACATGTTGAGTTTCGTGGAACATGCGGTAACATGACGAGGGTCTGAGTCTCATGTTAAACGTCAGCATTTTACCAGCTAAACCAGATGTAACAGACACCCAAAAGTCGTTCTTTATAGTGGTGTCTCTTTGCACCTATTGTTGCTTTTGACACACTGCCACGTTAACCATGACGGAACACATCCTGCATCGACCGCCATCTTTTAGAGCTTGCCTAGAGAAGAGTTCAGATGAATTGTCAGTTTGAAAGTACAAAACAAATGCCTTTAAAGGGACAGTCACCTACTAAATGATGATTTACTCACAATTCAGTCACCTTTAGGGGTTCCAAAAACCTTTGAGTTTCTTCTGTTGAACACCAAAGGATACATTTCGAAGAAAGCTGAAAACCTGTAACCATTGACTTTCATATTAGGAAAAATAAATACTATGGAAGATAGGGCTACACAATACATCATTTCAGGATCGATTATGCAATGTGCACATCTGCAGAATATGCATAAGTTAGGATTATAGTTGATTATAACCAATGCAGTTTAATCATAATGGAGGAAAAGTTGATCATCTGTATGCATGTTTAAAGTGACAGTTCATTTGAATTATTGAACTTTACTTACCATTTTCATTTCACCCTTCACTTGTTTCAAACATTTATGAGTTTCTTTTTGTGTTCAACATAAAAAAAGAATATAATTTAACAACATTTGAAACAAGTGAATGGGGACTAAATAGTGAGTAAATTCTCATTTTTGGGTGAATCTACCCATTTAAGGCTAACCAAATTTTGTTTTTATTTTTTATTTATTTATTTTTTTAACAGCAAAACAGAAGGTCAGTAGTGAAAGATGACTTCACTTATGTCAGATTCTGCTTGGTCTTAAAGCATTTAATGGGTTATTTTTACTATTTATAATGGCTAAGCATTTCCCAGAGATGGGTTGCAGCCGAAAGGGCATCCGCTGCGTGAAAACGTGCTGGATAAGTTGGCGGTTCATTCCGCTGTGGCAACCATGGATT